AACCCTACCCATAATAAATGGGTCTACTTGGGTTTGGGCAAAATTACCCATGGGTGGGTAAATTGCCATCCCTACGTGACAGAGCCTAACCAGGCTGGCTCCGCCACTGTAGTAGGGTTAAGAAACGGTGCGGTTAACCATTATAGCGAGGGTTGGTTCCACCACTGTAGCTAGGGATGGGAAACGAGGCCATATATGCCAATCGCGACCACACGACAAATGGTTAGCGGTTAACCATTAACCGCAAAGTGTGGTTAGCGGTTAACCACAGTTAACCACGTTACTAACTATTCTTATGGTTTGGGGACATTTTGGTGTGTGGATGTGTCATTATGTCACCGTAATCGTGTTAATCGCGGTTAACCACAGGTAACCGCGTTAGTAATCGATTAAACTGTGATTACCTCTTATTCGGTTGCGGTTGCGCTTAAACCACAAATCATAAAACATGCTATATTGCTAACCGCGACCGCAAAAAGCGTATATTTTGGTTTGTGGTTAACCATTTACCATGAGGTTTCGATGTGATTAGTGATTTAACCGTAAAATTGCAACCAAATATCCACCCTAACTGTAGCCTGTAGGTGCTAATCCCTTAAAAGAGTAGCACCATGCTAACTACTACGATAGTTTTTTGATTGAAATACTAATCATAATCGCAGTCATGGACGAACCAGGAAGTCTGAATCGACTCGAAAAAAGTCGGTAGCCCGGATGACATAATTTCCCAGAAAAAAACGAGGCCCCATGCACCATTTTTAAAGAAGGACATAATGATGTGAAATCAAAATTTCCGAACTCCTGCCTGAAAATTATCGCAAGCCTGGGTGGCGAGGAAACTATTCTACCCCTACATGCAGAAATCTTAAAATGCCAAAACATGTTTAGGCATTAAGGAGTCTAATCGTCACGAAAATCCCCCTGACCCTGCATCACGAGATCTCACCTCCATGGACGTACCACCAGACCTACTCATAAACTCCACCTTAAAGGAGTCTGACCTGGGAAGGTTAAGCATTTCGTGTAACATAAATGGATATTACATACCAATTGTGTTTTTTATACTAGATCTAGCACTAATGTTATACCGATTGCTACATATATGGCAATGGGGGGTGGGGGAGATAGAAGGCGAGCCTCTAGACCTTGAATTGGTGGACAGGTCCATACGTGAAAGAAATGGGGTGTTGCAACACGTCGAGATGTCGAGGTCACCCTTGATCTTCGACTGCGACTTCGTGATAATTGAAATGCAGCGACACCAAAGGAATGGAGCACTCTTAGGTTTCACTTTCCTCGAGGCAGCAAGACTTGTCATTGACATGCTAGAGAGAAATGATCACTTTGCAAGTATGAGAGCTGGAACATCACATTTTGATCTCATGAGCTCTGGATAATAACTGGATGTTCTTTGGCAGAGATTCAGAGCTTGAAGAGGACGACGTCACCACCTTGGGTGGCAAAGATGCAGTATCCATTAAATCCTCGACCTTATACAATCCCTCTCCACCTGATATGACATGACTGCATGAAGCCTTCTTCTAGACAGCCCAGAACCAGGACATCATACTGGTCAAAATAAAGGGGGATCACGACCTAGATCATAGGATCTCGGCAAGTGTGGAAGCAACATTCCATGCTTCCCCTCACGAGTTCTTCTAGAAGCATGAGGATGAGAAGGAAGAATGGGGTGACGATTGGCTCTCTTAAACCAAGCAGGTCGTCTGGTTCAAAGGCATTAAAGAGAGAGCACTCAGCCTATGTATGACATCTAACTTAAAGCCGTTAAACCAAAGTACTAGCGAGCGATAACCCGGGTTTCCTATTGTTGCATTTGAACCTTCTGTAAGATGGTTTGATCAACTTGAATAAAAGTTTTTGGTGAACTTTTTTTCAATGGGCTTATCCATACTTAAATGAATATTCGAGCACCGATGTTATTATAAAAAGGCAAAAAAATCGTGGCCTAGGAGTCATTTCGGCACCAGGTCCGCCGACTTTGGGAAGTCCATACTGGCTTCTTTCTGTCCTATTTTCCAAATATGGTAGACGGTCAAGATCAACCATTTTGCATACTCGGTCTTCGATTATTGACAATATCACAAATAAAGTTGGTCGACCCTACCTTTATGGGTCGTTCCTAGTCCCACGCATCATGGAATGACGAGAAGATGGAACCATTAACTACTTCTCCATGTAAAGGTAATCCTAAACCCCATAATCTACAAAATTGGACTTCAAACAAACAAGTGGTTGCATCACTTTTAGTGTGGAAGTGGTCTTGTCGTAAAATTACACCCTCCTATCTTAAACAACATTAGGCCAATATTTGGGCAATGAACTATTGTCATAAAGATGGACATCAATGAGCAGAAAGGTTTCACGACAATAGTTCCCCATTCTATCGTCATCTTTGACCATGAATGCGTGCCTAAGGGTTGTCCTATGTCGACTATTGCAAAACCTTCGTTTGCTTACTCCACCGCCATCGTCGGATTTTCACCCACACTAGGGATGCAAGGGGTCGGGTTTTGCCAAACCCAAATCCAAACCCATTGGTTTATCCATAAAAAAACCCAGGTATAACCCAATGGGCTTGGAAAACTCAAACCCAACCCAACCTGCTGGGTATCCAAGGGTTCATGGGAACCCATGGGTTTTTGTGGTAAAAAATTTACAATAACAAGTTTCTATCAAAATAAAAGTCAAACATTAGTTTTTCCATACAAATTATCCATACATAAAATACCATTCTAGAAAATTCAAACAAATCACAAATTATCCATACAAATTGTAAATTAGATTGGGGGAAATTAGAATTAGGGTAGGGTTTGGAGAGAGTAGGCGACGGAATAAGTGTGGGCGGGTATCCATGGGTCGAGTATCCCTAAACCCAAACCCAACCCGATGAAAGTGTAACGAGTTTCAACCCGAACCCGACACGAAACCCGTCAACATGAGTTTTACCCGTGTTGATCGAGTTGGGTCGGGTAGGGTACTCGTGGGTTCGGGGTTTGTTGTCATCCCTAACCCACACCACCCACCTCGTGTTCTTATTCCCCTACTAATAATCTTACTTCAAATCCTTGTGGATGCATGAGCGGTACCACGTATTTGCTTGCAATTTGACCTTTGCGCGTCATATGTCTATTCGACGTGCACTCGTGACGGTTTGGCTCTTATGCTTACCTCATAATAGCTTTCGTGTATGCACTTATTGGTCTACACCGAAATGAAGTTGGGAAGGGTACACGTAGAGGAGAACGACTCCTTGGTGGTGTGGATGATGATTTTTGTGTGTCCATGGATCGAGGTTGAGAGCCTTCTACTTGTGACGTGGCACATTTCAAGCATGCGTGGATGTCTTGGCCAACACCGGTTTCAACTTCCAATTCTAAGCACCTTCGTTACTTAGTCGAAGAAATTTTGCCGCAGGTCACTACCTTTTCACACCCATGGATTGGTTCCTAGCTGTGGCTTTAGCCGTGAATCACTCGACAATTTTAATTCTCAAATCGTCAATTTGGGAGTTCATCCTTAATTTTCACGGGTTGAATCACACCCATGAGGCAGCTTGTGAGGATGATGGATGACCCTCCAAATCCAGTCACATGTGTATTATGTGTGTAGAGAAGAAGTTGTGTGTGTGTATTTGCGCATAAAATTCAAAAATCTGGAGTAATGCCACACACCCAAAGCAAATTCAAAGTTCGTCATACTTTTGAATTGCTAGTCTCCGCGTAAACACGTGATGTAAGGGAGGCTAGTGTAGAGGTTATGTCCTTGTCATGAATTTTGGATCCGTCTTAAAAGAAAAACATATGAATTTGTGCTTCCTAGTTCCTACCATTCCTTTCGAGTTCTCGAACTCCTCCTCAAAGGAAGGAGTCTTCAGCGCTTAAAAGCAAAATTGTGGTCGATATGTAGCTTCTCGATATCCTACCACGTACAGTTTACATCACTAAAAGATGCCACTGCAAATAAAGTGTGGGTAAAAGCCAAGGGCGAGGCATCTTATCTGTTGGGTGTGGTATTAATCCGCGTAATACGACAAAAGACTACACCCTCAATGGACCGAAACCCACCGTAATGCGTCCCGTGCCCAATCTCACTCAAAGAGGCCCCAAACTCCTATATAAGAAGACCCGTGCCTCCAAACCAAGGATCCGCTTCCTTTCCTCCATTCACTATTATGGTTCTCTCTCTAAAATCTCACTCTACATACCTCTCTCTATTTTCCATATATCGTACTAATTTGGGCATCTTGGAGCATATATCATGGCCCAAAATATCGTTTTTACTAGATAACAATGTAGTCCGTGAAGTAATAGTACAATTGTCGCCCGGGTTAATCATTAAACTTCACTTCCACCATTATGCACCTGATTGTGGCTGCACTTGGCCACTGTTGGGATAGTAGTCACAGTAGGAACGAGTTAGTGTCCACCAAATTACATTAGTACAAGGTGTTTTGGGAAGGAACCCAGAAGTAAATTTGTGCGGGCTTGGCCAAAGCGGACAATATCGTGCTGATAAAGCATTTGGTCTCGGCAAGTGGTACTATTAGGCCTTGGTTGAGAGTTCAGATACATAGCGGTGGATGTTGGTTTGGTGAACCCTCATCCTGTGCCCACAAGATTTGATATGTGTCTGGTAATCTGTGTGGGGGGATCGAAGGTGATGCATATGGTAAATTCTTGAATTCAAAACCCTGTCGATACAAGTGTCTAGCTGATCAAGATAACAGTTGAGCAAAGGACATAAAGTCCGTGGTCCTTTTTCTTTGGAAAAGATTGTTAATTATGAGGCAATCCAAATATCACACCAAAAATACAAGGAAAAGTCTTTTTATCTAACTTACTACTCCCGTTGACGCAGGCTAGCTAGTACGCGGTAGGTGGGCAAAAGAGTCTAGTATAAGTCCCCCGTTGCCTCTTATCTTCCATGATACCAATTAATTACTTCTCTGTCTCCTGACTATTATAACTACAAATCCAATTATGCCTTCAGAAGGTTACAAGACGGAGCTGAAACTCGTGTCGTCGGCCAACGACGTCTGGGGCGCAATCTTCGCCGCCACCAGAATCTACCCGGCGGTCCTTCCCGACGTCTACGAAGAAATCACGTCCACCAGGCGGGATGGTTACTCCGAAGGCTCGATGCGGAAGATCACGTATAGCCCAGGTTAACTAACTAACTAACTAACTACATAATCATATATTAAATTGCATATACGTCCGACAAAAGATTTTTCGCATGCGGTTGATTGTCGGGTTAATTAGTTGTCGTGTAAACATGTCCGTAGGTTTCAATAAGGCGGCGAGGATGGCGATGGAGGAGATCACCGACGTGGACCACGAGACGAGGACGGTGAGCTGCTCGGTGGAGGACGGGGAGTTTGTGACCAAGCACTACCGGAGCTTCGAGACCACGACGACGGTGGCGCCGCTGCCGAGCAACGAGGGGCCGAGGGAGCCAGGGTGTATTGTGAGGTGGAGTTGTTCGTACGTCAACGCTGCGGGGAGCTTGAGCCCTGACGTGGTCAAGGATCTGATGAACAAGACCTTCGAGGGCTTAGACAACCATCTCCAGAAGCTTATTCACTCCAAAACAGCACGATCCTGACGTGGTTACGGATATGATGAACAAGACTTTAGTGTTTGAATTCAATAAATGAATGTTTGTCTTCTTGAATAATGATTTTAAACACGGTTCACACCTCTCCAAACAATGTTCGAATGATGGTGTTTTATGTTTTTTTAATGATTTTTTATGGGACAAGATGCGTTAAGTTACTCTACTCCTATGGAGATTCAGTGAGGACCTCTAAAAACTACCTATGACTAATTTGCAGAGAAAAGGTAAGTGTTGACATTGGGTGTCAAGTGTTTGGTTACCTTGTAGAACCCTTTTTCAGTCTTCGTTTCTCGTATTTATAGCCATCAGGTGTAACTGCCCTAGTAACCTCCAACTTGTTGGTTGCTCTAAATGTCTCGTGGTCCTCATCGCTACCTTAACGACTAGTTGGTAATCATTGTATTGATGTTCCATCCCATCACCTTGGGGGGCCCTTGTACCATCTTGTGACTGATTGATATTTGGTGGGCTCGACGCCAGGTCGGGTTGGTGTTTAGTCTCGTCCCCTTGTCCAAACTAAATGGTGTTGAATCTTGATGACAAAGTCTCTATCACACCCTTGACAATCGCAATGACTCCACACTTAGATCATTTGTTTTCAGCTTGGTAACATCTTGTTACGTAGCCTGCCTCATTAACTAAGCTTGGTAACATCTTGTTACCTAGCTAGCCTGCCTCATTGAATCCACACTTAGCTCCCAATGACAAGCTCATCTTGTCATCTCATCACAAGTTCATCTTGCTAGCTTGTTTCCACGTCATCTTTACATCAAGTATCTCATCGATGTGAAATCTAGCTAACTCATCGATTTGCCACCTTATTGGCAAGCCTGGTTTGATACCATATTGTTTTGTCGGCTAGTCAGTCTAATCAGCTTGACAAGCCCATCTCCTCGGGTTGGTTCTCCATACTTAGTCTTGAGAAGTTAGGGACTATCCTTGCAGGCTTGGTACTCTGTCAACTTACCACCAAGTCTGTCTTGCTGACTTTGTCTCCATACTTAGCTTTTAGAGCTGGTAAAGTTGAATCAAGTCCTTTGTCCTCTAGCAAAAGGGGGAAGGCCTGTTAATTTGGAGCGGAACGCAACGTATGGGAGGATTGAGTTGGACGAATTTTTTTTGGAGTGGAATAAAAGGGGGCACAATAGAGTTGGCAGATTCTCTTTTGGGACGTACTCTGGGGCAGGATCGGACCAGGTCAAAACTGGATTGACAGCTGGCCGGGTAAAAGCCAAACTGTACCAAATCCAATCTTAGGTCCCCATATTTCCAAAAAAAAAAAGGACTGGGATCGAGTCAATCTCGACTAGTTTAACCGAACTGGACCGGATAGCCACTCCTAGCAAGCACCAAAGCTGTCCCAAATTCATTCTACTTGTTTGCCAAAGAAGTAATCAAAATGTGGGGAGAAGAAGAAGTGAAAAAAGTGTTTAACGCGGTTTATGATAGCTTCTTTGAGAGCTTATATCTTCGTCTTAAGAGATATTCGAGTGAAGTTGGCACTTGGTCTTCTTTGTTCAAGTAATGTTAAAGAGCGTGAAGAGGTTTGTTGAGGTCGACTGAGCTTGGAGGACCTCAATCGATGAGCTTGAAGATCGTATGGAAGCATCCTCATCGCTGCCTTAAGCCGAAGGAAAATGACACGAGGACTAACTTATTGGAAATTTCTCCAAAGAATTCAGACGCATTAATTGGGTCCGCCAGTGGAGCCACTAGGCCTAGTGCCATGCATGGTGACGCCATTTTTGCCATGACGAATGACGACATCATGGAATACGTGCACTGGTGATGTCGACGACTTTTTTCCGACGGAAGAAATTTTAAGCGTCAACGTTTGGCACGGACTCGGGATACAACTTTCCGACGGAAGCTACGGTGAGTCTCTAATTATGTTTCCTTTCCTGCTCCGGTGTCGGACTTCTTTCTCTTCGAGCAAATCAGCTGCATTTTTTTATTACGAATGTAGCTCTTTCATCTCATCACATTAATACGAGTCTATATGGACCTGTGTAATTTATCCGTTCAAAACTTTCAAAGCTGTATTATATTGTGACATCGTTTAATTTTTTCCATCCATTTGGTGGCTCTCATACTAAACGCGTATAAAATTTGTATAACACATTTAATATCCTTATTTAACGAATACAATTATTGATTTAAAAATTATTTACCCATTGATCTATTTTCAAATAATAATTATATATATACTAACATATTATTAAACATACTATTATTTTAAAATCATACTATTATTCTAAAAATACTTGTATTTATTTGATAAAATAAAACTTATAGTTAGTACTATGATAATCAGTATGATCTTATTCAATAATCCATATGAGATTCTATCCATCTTGATTTTTTTTTGGAAAATTCTTATCTCCAACATTGGTTAGACGCAAAAGGTCCAACCATTCACATGTCAGTTTGTTATTGGTGGACTCACCTTCCTTTTTTTCTCAATATTTGATTTCATAATTATGCAAAAACAAACCAAGAATTAAAATTATAAAAAAGCAAGATGAACTCACTAATAGGAGACTAACATATAGCTGGTTGGAGCTTCTACGTCGTCCGATCAATGTTAGAGCTAAGAATTTTCCGATTTTTTTTATAGATGAAACTTGTCTTTTGCGCGGATAAAAGTTCGTGGAAATTAAAGTAGTTGGGCCCATTTCGAAGGGCAAAATTTCGGCGCATTTAGAAAAAAGGAAAATGAATGGAAGGTGGAAAGCAAGTAAGCAACCACTATAAATACCCCTCATATGGAAGCATGAAATCTTCATCCCAGAGTCGATCCAATACTTCAACTTAGCTTCCCTCTCCACTCCATAATCTCCTGCCTCTAGCTTTTTTGCCTGAAAAAAAAAGGAAAAAAAACAAAAATGCCTCTAGTTACCGAGACCGTGACATTCAGGATGTTCTCCTCCGCCAGCGACGTATGGAGCGCCGTCACCGCCGCCACAGCTGTTTTCCCGATGGCGATGCCCAACCTCTACGCCGGCATCAAGCGCAACCGCCGCGACGGCTTCACCGAAGGCTCTATCCGCGACATCACTTTCGGCCCTGGTAATTAAGCCTTCATTAATTAATTATATATATGGTGCCTTCTACGGTACCCCACCCTGAGTATGAAAACGTTATCTAGAACTCGAATTAGCATGATTTTTGGGCATGATACTATACCCTAATCCTTAATGAGTGAACCCTAGGTCCTAATTATCTAAATCTAAACTATAAACCCTAAGATGGTGCATTGATTTTTTTTTGTCTATATTTGGACGAATCATAACCGTCGATTACTGTTTCTAATTAAATTGATCTTGGGGAATAAGATTTATAGAATTAAGACCTAGATTTTGATCTTTAAGGGTTAGATTATAGTATCATGTCCCAAAGATCAGATAATTCATGTTCTAAATATCATTTTCTTGCTCAAGTTATGCGGTACCTCGGATTTCATCCTGGGTACCGTAGAACTCCCCATATATGTGTGTCGCTGAATGATTTTTTCTTTGCTTAATTTAATTTGGTGTACGTACGTAAATCGCCGGCCCCATGCAGCTTACAGCAGGGTGGTGGGATCGGGGAGGGAAGAGATCCTTGAAGTTGACCATTCCAACATGACGGTGAAGACGACGATGAATGACGACGGAGCATTCGTGCCGCGGCTCTTCGACAGCGTCGACATCACGACGGCCGTGGTGCCTTCCTCCCGCGCCAACCTTAGGGCCACAGGCTGCACGATTACTTGTGTTGGGCGAGATCAGAGCTGACCATTCTTGGAAGGTCTGTATTTTTGGTAACTTCTTGCTGCAATCAAGGATCAATCATCAACGGGTCATCTCCAACGGTCAGCTTTGGATGTCTATAAATTGCTTAGAATTTGTAATCGTCTAGTAGCTTTTGAGGTTTCGGAGTTTAGTGGTAAAGGGCTAATACTTCAGATCAAAAGGGTGATTTTCTTCAGGGGAATAGGTTCTGAAGAGTGGCTGATTTGTTCAGAGTTTCGATTAAACTCTGGTGGTTTTTGTTTAGATCCTGTGTCTTGTAATTGTTCGATATATCAGATAATTATAGTGTCTCTCGGTAGTAGTGTGTACTATTACCGGGACGAGGACGTAGCCATTGTTGGTGAACCTCGTTAAAATTGCTGTGTTCTTCTATTCCTGCTTTGATTTCATTTCGTCTGTTGCTCGACTCTGTTCTTCTGCAAATCAGAGAGAAGAACAAGCAGTCTCTGCTTTAGTCTCTGCGTTTAACAGGCCCATCTCTTGAGCCCGGACATATTTGGTTGTTTGGGCCTTTATTTGTCTGCTGGCCCGCTCATTTGAGAGGTGTAATATCAGAATCATTTTCAAGTCCTTCCCTCTTCTCGTTGCTTTTCCATTCTCAAAAAATTCCCAAATCAAGTCGAATCCCTAACTCTGAAATCGACCTTCAAGTGGTATCAGAGCCTTCCTTTGAAGAGCTCACTACTGCCAAAGGTAACGATTCATGGGAACCAACTCTCCTGCCGCGTTTGGTCCGGCGTCGCATCATAATCCGCCGTGGTTTACAGGCTCGAACTACAACGCCTGGAAAAAACGGATGAAAACCTTCTTGTGGGGAATCGATGCCGATCTCTGGACCGTCGTCATAGATGGACCGATAGAAATGGACATCGATCGTCAAGATGGGTGGAATGATGAGCAGAAGAGAAGTGCTCAGCTGAACTGCCGAGCTATGCACATTCTACAAACTGCTATCTCACCCGATGAGATTGACAAGGTGGAGCAATGCGAAACCGCGAATGAAATCTGGTCCATTCTTGAAGCCATGTTCGAAGGTACGTCTAATATCAAAGAAACTCGTATAGACTTACTTATGCATGAATACGAGACTTTTGATATGCTACCTGGTGAAGGGATTCATGATATGTACTCTAGGTTTACTGGTTTAATTAACAAACTGAAAGGGTTGGGTAGAATCATCGCAACAAAGGATATGGTTAGGAAGCTTCTTCGATCTTTACCTAAGGAATGGCTGCCTAAACGGACAGCCATTGAAGAAGCCAGAAATCTTAATACTTTGACAGTCGATGAACTAATTGGATCCCTTCTCAGTCACGAACATGTCATTAGGCAGGTAGGAAAGGAAGATGATAGGCGTAGAAAGAGTCTTGCTTTTAAGAGTCGTGTGTATGATGTTGAGTCAGACAATGAGGTTGATTCTGATTTTGAACGAGAACTGGCCTTGGTCAGCAAGAAATTTCATCGCATGATGAAGTTCAAAAATGATCAGAAGCAACGCTCTGTGGAAAACAGGGGTCGTTTTGAATCTAATAACTGTTTTTCTAATTCTAATTCTCGCTTTCCTGGGTCATCAAGTCGTTATACTGATTCGAATAACCGCTTTTCGGATCAAAATCAAAGACATAATGAGTTCGCTCAAAGAATCAGTGATAGTGGAAGAAATTATTCCAATCCTGCTAGAACTAAGGGTACACATTTTGAGAGATTTGCCTCGCAGGAAAGGGAGACACAAAGTGGAGTAAATGATCGTGATCCTCAAGGATGCTACAAATGCGGAAAATTGGGGCACGTAAGAGCCAATTGCCCGTTGACACTGAAAGCCAAAGAACGTGCAATGGCTGCCTCATGGAGTGACTATGAATCAGAGGATGAAGGTGAACAGAACATTGAAGAGGCATACATGGCAAGAACAACATATTCGGTTCAAAACTTTAGCAAGGTTGAAAGCAAATGGTACCTCGACAGCGGATGTTCGCATCACATGACAGGTAATGAAGCCCTTTTCTCTTCTTTAAACTACGAATTAGGAGGAGAAGTTGTCTTTGGTGATAACAGTTCTGGCAGAGTAGTGGGACAAGGAGTTATTGGTCTGTCTCCCATGCCAACTGTCAAAGATGTCATGCTCGTAGATGGTCTTAAACACAATTTGCTTTCTATAAGCCAGTTATGTAGTAGTGGTAACAAAGTTACCTTTGAAACTTCTCATTGCTTAGTTGAACGTGTCCACGACAATGAAATTTTGTTTGTAGGTAATCGAATTGGAAACATGTATGTTATAGATCTTCATGATTTAAAGGCCTTTAATGAATCTTGTCTGGTTTCTAAATCAGACTATCAGGAAGCTATCTGGCACAAGAAATTGGGCCACATTAGTTTAAAAAGGCTAGCTGTCTTGTCAAAATCTAAGCTTGTCCGAGGAATTCCTGACTTAAAGGAACGAGGAAATTTTTTCTGTGGTGCGTGTGCTGCTGGTAAGCACTCCAGAAGACCTTTTAAAGTTAAACCAGATTTAGCCTCGACCAAACCATTTGAACTTGTTCATATGGATCTATTTGGTCCATGCTCTGTTACTAGTGTTGGAGGCAAAAACTACGTGTTTGTCCTTGTTGACGACTATTCTAGATTCTGTTGGGTTTATTTTCTTGCCAGTAAAGATGAGACCTACAGAAAGTTTCAGTCCTTTGTCAAAATGCATTCAGAAATTAAAAGCATTAAGAGTGACAATGGAGGAGAATTCATCTCAGATGAATTCTCTGAATTTTGTGAAACTAGTGGGATTTTACATACCTTCTCTGCTCCTAGAACTCCCCAACAGAATGGGGTAGTTGAGAGGAAAAATCGTACTATCATTGAAACAGCAAGAACTATGTTGATTGACTATAATCTTCCAAAGTTCTTTTGGGCTGAAGCAGTCAGTACTGCTTGCTATGTTATCAATAGAGTTCTTGTTAGAAAACATCTAAACAAAACTCCATATGAAATTTTAAAGAAAAAGACACCAAATATTTCCTATTTTCATCCTTTTGGTTGTCGATGCTTTACCTTGAATACTAAGGATACCCTAGGCAAATTTGATGCAAAGTCAGATGAGTCAATCTTCTTGGGATATTCCTTGAAAGGACAAGCTTACAGAGTCTACAACAAACGAACTCGTAAGGTGGAAGAGTCTGTTCATGTGTTATTTGATAGTACTAACCCATCTGATAAGATACATGAGACAGACCTGCAGCTACTCGATTTATTTGAGTTAACTCGTTGGCAAGAAAGCATTTCAGCAGAAACAACGAGTACAAGTGAACCTCCAGTACAACAGCAATCACCTAAAGATTCTAAGGAGATGCAATCTGCCAAGTTTGAAGCAACAACGACAGAGGCAGAAACTACAGTACTTGATTCGAGTGATGATAGACCTCAAGCACCTCCTCATATTCAAAAAAGACATCCTGAGACTCAAGTCATTGGAAGCATCAAAGATGGTCTTCGCACCCGAGGTAAGTACACCCCAGGTCAGTATGCTTATGTGTCTAAATTAGAACCTAAGTCCTATAAAGAAGCTATTCATGATGAAGAATGGGCTTATGCCATGTTGGAAGAACTTTCTCAATTTGAATATCTTAAGGTTTGGGAATTAGTTCCTAGACCGATAGGAAAAACTATAATTGGTACTAAGTGGGTCTTTCGTAATAAATCCGATGAGGAAGGCAATATCATTCGTAACAAGGCACGCCTTGTTGCACAAGGATATTGTCAAGAGGAAGGAATTGATTACGACGAGACTTTTGCCCCTGTGGCACGTCTTGAATCAATTAGGTTGCTTTGTGCATTTGCTTGTTATAAAAATTTCCCTTTGTACCAAATGGATGTCAAGAGCGCATTCTTGAATGGAGACATTCAAGAAGAGGTTTATGTCTCTCAACCTCCTGGTTTTGCTGACTCTGTACATCCAGACTATGTGTACAAACTAAACAAAGCTTTGTATGGTCTCAAGCAAGCTCCTAGAGCTTGGTTTGATAGATTGACTAAATTTCTTAAAGATCAAAAGTTTTCCCAAGGGTCAGTCGATAAAACCTTATTTACTAAAACTGCTGGGTCTCATATGCTTATTGTTCAAATTTATGTGGATGATATAGTTTTCGGGTCAACTGATTCTGTTATGTGTTCTGAGTTCTGTGAAGCAATGAAATCTGTCTTCGAAATGAGCATGATGGGTGAGCTTCAATTCTTCCTTGGGCTGCAGTTTAAACAGACTTCTTATGGGACCTTTATCAGTCAATCCAAGTATATTAACTCCATGTTACATAAGTTTGATCTTTTCAACATTAATTCCAGCCCAACACCTATGGCTGTGAACTTAAAGTTAGACAAAGATGATAAGGGTGTCCCTGTAGACGAGAAACTATATCGTGGTATGATTGGTTCGTTGCTTTATTTAACGGCTAGTCGACCAGATATTCAGTATAGTGTTTGCTTGTGTGCTAGGTTTCAAGCAAATCCTAAGATTAGTCATTTAAGTGCTGTTAAACGTATTTTTCGTTACTTAAAAGGCACCATGGATGTAGGTCTTTGGTATCCCAAACAAACTGATTTTGACCTTATGGGTTACAGTGATTCTGACTTCGCTGGAAGTCTCACTGACCGTAAAAGCACAAGTGGTGCTTGTCAGTTTGTTGGGACTGCCCTCATCTCTTGGTCTTGCAAAAAGCAAGGAGCGGTAGCCTTGTCGACATCTGAAGCAGAATATATAGCTGCTGGAGGGAGTTGTACACAACTTCTTTGGCTAAAATATCAGCTAAAAGACTATGGTTTAGATATCCCTGCTGTTCCTTTATTTTGTGATAACACTAGCACTATTTGTATGACCAAAAACCCTGTGCAGCATTCCAGAACAAAACACATTGAGATCAAATACCATTTCATCCGTGAATTGGTTGAAAATCAGGTCATATCTCTAAATTACATTCCTACAGAGTATCAACTAGCTG